TCTGCATATGAATACAAGTGTGGATGTTTACATTCTGCATATTAATACAATTGTGGGTGTTTACTATCTGCATATGAATACAAGATTGGAGTTTACAATCTGCATATGAATACAAGTGTGGATGTTTACATTCTGCATATTAATACAATTGTGGGTGTTTACTATCTGCATATGAATAAATGTATGAGTGTTTACAATCTGCATATGAATACAAGTGTGGATGTTTACATTCTGCATATGAATACAATTGTGGGTGTTTACTATCTGCATATGAATAAATGTATGAGTGTTTACAATATTCATATGAATACAAGATTGGAGTTTACAATCTGCATGTGAATGCAAGTGTGGATGTTTACATTCTGCATATTAATACAATTGTGGGTGTTTACTATCTGCATATGAATAAATGTATGAGTGTTTACAATATGCATATGAATACAAGATTGGAGTTTACAATCTGCATGTGAATGCAAGTGTGGATGTTTACATTCTGCATATTAATACAATTGTGGGTGTTTACTATCTTCATATCAACAAAAGAGTGTGGTATAATCTGCACATGAAATATAAGTGTGAGTATTTTAAAAATCAGCGTGTCTGCATATTCTTTGTTATAGATGTGTGCAATGAGAACGACAGTGTTACTCAACTCACCAAATCAATTCTGCAATATACCAAGCACATTGGTGCTATATACTTCACAGAACCACATAATCCAAGTGGAAACACAGTAAGTAATCCATAGTTAGACATTTCAACACCTGTGTCCCCTCTGAATAAAGTAATGAGTGGTTTGTTCATACACAAGTAGATTGTCAACATCGTTCATTTTATCAGTTAATACCGTGTTTTGAGAAAAGAGGCTCATAGAATGTGTGTCATTTTTGAGAATTTATTTTTTTCATTCACTATATATATATATATGTATAATAAAGGAAATAATGTATATCAGACACACTCAGGCTCATCACATTCAGACTTGTGAGAGACATATTTCTGACATGTATTGGCCAATTGCATTCATACTTTGTGTGTATACATAATTATATAGTTCTATCATGGGACACATGCACAAATATACCTGTATTGTGATTAGATTTAATATGACTGACTGCATGGCAGCCATTTAGTGGTATGAGTGAATTTTGAGAGCAATTTATCTCAGACATGTCTGGACTGATTGCATTCATACTTTGTATATACTTTCCTATTTGTATATTGTTATAGCGAAAATATATCTTGTCATAACTTGTTCATATTACTGATTGTCCGTCGTCATCAACTTTACAATTTCAACTTCTACTTCGAAACTGCAAGTCAGAATGTTTTCAAATTTGATATGCAAGTACTTTGGATGCTTCTTTCTCAGATTTATTCATTTCATGTAAAATTCTCTATTTTTGGTGAATATTTTTGACTTCTTGTTAAAAACCGCAAGTCCAATTGCTTTGATATTACATATATAGATACTACATGTGAACCTTTCTCAGATTTGTTCATTTCATGATGATATCTTCAATTCTCTAAATTTGGTGAATATTTTTTGTCATTTTTGGTAAAAAGTGATATTTTCGACTTCTTGTTAAAAACTGCAAGTCCAATTGCTTTGATATTACATATATAGATACTACATGTGAACCTTTCTCAGATTTGTTCATTTCATGATGATATCTTCAATTCTCTAATTTTGGTGAATATTTTTGTCATTTTTGGTAAAAAGTGATATTTTCGACTTCTTGTTAAAAACTGCAAGTCCAATTGCTTTGATATTACATATATAGATACTACATGTGAACCTTTCTCAAATTTGTTCATTTCATGATGATATCTTCAATTCTCTAATTTTGGTAAATATTTTTGTCATTTTTGGTAAAAAGTGATATTTTCGACTTCTTGTTAAAAACCGCAAGTTTGATTGCTTTGATACTATACTAATGATATCTTCAAAAATGTGCCTTGCTAACAGTGCAGCTATCTCAGCCGACAGGCTGCTTGTTTCTATAACTTCTTTGTTAATTTTTAACCAAATTGACATAATTTCCCACAAATCTTGACCAAATTGTCAACAAATATGAAAGAAAAAAATGTGTATTGGAAAAGTTGAATGTGGTGTTAATCTGATCTTCACATTTTATTTTTAGGATGAGTCAACAGTATTATCCTATTTCAAACATGTTGCCATGGTGACATTACCATGGCACCGTATCCAGGAAACAATTTCTCCTGTCTTCCCAACACTCTCAGGAACAAAACTATATGAAGAACTCCGTCATTTTGTTGGTTTTCTGTGTGAAATATCTTTAAAATGGATACTAAATGCCATCAGTACAGGTAGTCATATTATGAAGGGCAAGATTTATAAGAATCTTATGATTGATGTCAAAGTCAGCAATAATAAACTATATCACAGGGCTATTAGTATTATACAGGTAAGGAGTGCATGTTACAATTATATATATTTACACTGGGACAAACTGTATATTTTTCATATCCTATATAGTTGCTCTATTATCAACTCACACACTTATGATACATACTGTCACTGTATTAGAAGCACATGTCTAATAGAAGCTCACATAAACCGAAAAATTGCAATTATTATAATATGACTTATTACATATGCACATTGCTACTATTAGTACAAGTCTGTCTATCTGTTCGTCCGTCTGCTTGTCTGTATGTACATCCATCTACCTGTCAGTCCTTTTGTTTATTTGTCTGTTTGTCAAGAACTGTTATCAAATTTCAATAAAACATGATACACAGGTGCATTGTGATAATATCCAGATTTGATTACTTTTTGCTTGACATCTGTGAATATTAATTTTATAATTTGCATAACAATTAGCAAATTTTAGCTACCGGTATTTTAGTATTATCGCAAGAATTTTTCTGCACATTTCAATAATAATATGGAACATAGGTGCTCTGGAACAAATCACAGGCCTGATTACTTTTCGATTGACATCTGTATATTAAAATTAATTATCTAATTTGTATATTTCTCATTTTTTAGCGTTCCATCATAAAACATACAGTAAACAAGTTATTTGTGGCATATGGAAACTTTCTTCACATATACATGTATTAGAAATAAACTTTTTTTTACTGTATCCAGTTTATTATTTAGATCATTAGATCAATGGTATGATAAGTAATTATAAATCAGAGGTATACATTATGTGGTTGCATGTGATTTTACTTATTAAACTCAATTGAGTTGATATTTTGCTCACAAAATATAATGTTTCTGTCAATAGAAATTCGCTGGTTGTAGTTTGGAAGAAGCCAGATGTGCTTTAATTAAGTCTATCTATAAAACTGATACCCTCACCGCCGAGCAGGGCAGTGCAGCTATATCAAAACATATTGATATGGCCACGACTATGAATAAGGTAAGATACTTTTGTATTTGTGAAAATTCTTCCCATAATGCACTGCAGATGCTCAATGAGGTGAACAATTAAATCACACTGTAAACTCATTAAATTATAAGTAACTGTTTTGTGATATTAGATTCATGTCAACAATTTAAGACTTTTTCTGTCAGTATGTCACTCAGCAAAACTTTATGATATGATGAAACCAATGCTAAACAAAAATAAAATTCAAATTCCACCAATTTGATCTTAAATAATTGTCTGATAACGCCAACAATACACACAAATTATTCAATACAAAATGTGAATGAATAGATATTTTAAATATGAGAAAGTTACGAGGCTGTCTTGAAGAGGCTGTCTTGAACTCATTGTTGATATATGGCGTACCAAATCACCCTGCTAAGAATTCTGATATACTTATCCACTTGACTTTCCAAACAAAGGAATGTTTAATTTACTGGTTATATTGATGTGAGAATTAATGCTGGAAACAAAGTTGATGTACACTTTCATCATGTAAAGAATCTTGATAGGATACACTGCTAGAAATTATATGTACTGTAAAAGCTGTATTAGAAGCCGCAACTTCTATTAAAATGGTACAATGCAACAGAGGGGATGCGGCTTCTATTAGAGCATCTACACATATGAGAAATGATGAATTTTTGGTTCTCAATTGTTCAAAAAGAATGGGTGTGACTTCAATTAGGGATGCGGCATCTAATACAGATTTTACGGTAGTAAGTTTGTGGATTTGTACACCATAGCTAATTAGATTGTACTGACCGTTGCGAAAATCCTCATGGCATGTCATGTTCGATATCAGTCGCATGCGACAACAACTTGTATAAAGATATAATAATGTTTTTAATGCATAAACTATCGACAGTTCTCGAGCCTAATAAAGAGTCACTTATTTTCAAACGCCGTAGGCATTTCAAGCGAGAGCCGTAATGCCTGAAAGACTGTTATAGCATGTAACGCCCTCATGCGGCATTACGTGGAAATTACCCGGTGACGTTCCTGTTGAGACTTGTCACTCAAACTACTACTACTTCCTGTTTATTGGTGACCCGTTTCGCTCATGATTGGTTGAGTCTCAGCAGGAACGTCACTGGGCAATTTCCATGTAATGCCGTATGAGGGTGTTACATGCCCTCAATGACAAACACCACCTTTTTTATTTCAAGTTTCTTTATCTCTCAGATCTGGAAATTTACTGCTTTTTTGTGATGTAAATTTTTTCATTCAATTTCCAGGTTGTGCCTGCAGCGTTGTTAATTGCTGTACGACAGTGTAGCGTACATGAAGCTATACAGATACTCAATGATGTCAAAGTGGTGTCCAAAGCTATTTTAATGTCTAAATGAAGACTAACAATTACAAAACCATATTCAGAAATCCTCAAAATCCGCCAAGATGGATTGAGTTACTGTAATGTTTAAAATCCTTAAATGTAAATACATTGCCACCAAACGAAATTTTTTTCACAAAACTCCTCCGAAAAATGATCAAGTTTGAGTACTAATAGTTTGGTTTCTATGGCAGAAACATCATATCTCAACATTTTGTTCGATGACCTATGCTAAGACAATTATATGTAGTGTTACATTTGACTCACAAATTTTGAATATTAGTATATTATCAATGGAATAATGTGTTTAAATGGATTCCTATGGGAAATGTTCTAAAATGGCCGCTTTTTAAGATTATTTTGCATATATGTCCTTGAAAACACATTCATTTTATTATTTACAGTTGATATAAAAGCACATTAAAGTATGAAAATATGCAAAAAAGGACATTTTCTGTTCCTTGCGAAATTCCATGTTATGTGTAAATTCGAGCATAAAAAACAAGGCAAAGAAAGGTCATAGTGGCATCAAAACATTGCATGGGATTTGTCAAAGTATTTTACAGATATTTCCAGGCTTAATAATGTGCGATACACATATGATAATGGTCAATTTTGATAAAATAAGGGTATGCCATATTCCCCCCCTGAAGGATCAGCATTTTGATCATGAGTTACAAAAAAAATTCAGGTAATCCGAGGTGCAAAATCAAATTGTACAATTTTTGCAGCAGTCCACATGCATGCAATATCTCACAGGGAATGCAAAATCACCTGTTTATTGAATCTTTCATTGCATCCATTAATCATTCTAGTTTAATATTATCATTTTTACAAAGAAACAAAGGGAAAATTAAAATTATATTAAATTGGGATGGAATAATGAATAACATTAAATAAATATATTATTAATTCATTTGTAATTGTACCAAATATAACTCTATTGATATACTGTTTTACAAAAAATATTTCATATATCGAATTTTAGTGTCTGTAACTATAAAGACAATAGAGGGAGATTTTCTTTGCTGTAACCCGCTATGAAGATGTAAAAAGAAATTAAGAAATATATCGTGATTTAAAAACATTTGCATCTTAAATACAGGTTTTAAGTAAATGGAAATTAACATGAGGTTATTATGAGGATACCGTAAAGTATGCACAAAGACAGTACAGCAAGAGTATCAACCGACGTGCAGCGGAGGTCAATGTGACAGCCTACTGTCTGAGTGCATACTTTACGGTATCCTTGTAATAACCTTATTATTATACATCTGTTCCTCCCAATGATACATCATGGTAATGCCAAAACCCCGAAAGTTTAGAACAGAATCAGCAAACTTCTTTGTGTGGAGTCCTGTCAAACCTTGGTGGCAGCCATGTTTGTTTTTATTATTAGAGAACGCTTATGCACGGAATCATTTCATATTTGGAATTTGTATTTCCTAATATGGTAGGATGAAAATACCCCGTAAAATACTGCAAAATTGCAGCACGCTGTAACTTGTGGTGTTACAATGACAGATGTATAATAATATACTGTATTATGATGTTACATAAAAACTGTTACCAAATTTGTAATTTTTTTATAATACTTTAACAGGAAATTGATATACCTCATTATAAACAGTTATGTAATTTGAATATCAATATATTATCAGGTGATTTTTATAAATTTATTGAAACATGTATATATATATTCAATGAGAGTGTATAGCGAAAAGTTTTATTTTAATCAAAGTTATGCGCCCTAAGCATCAAGAGACCCTGATTTCACCAATTGTTATTGCAAATTAGGAAGTTTTCGACCACTCAAATTGTGTTGGCAATATAGTTACCAGTTTGAGCTCATACATGTTACGGCATGTAATTGAAACAACTCAAAAATATCCAAGAATTGACTAATTCAAGACAGCTGTGATACAAGTAAATGTAACTTTTGTTTATTATTAATATTTATCATATTATAATAAAATATATATTCATATAATATGAGTATTATGTATCAACACATATTTGTGTGTTTTTAGCTTTATTTTGTGTGTGTGTGTGTGTGTGTGCGTGTGTGTGTGGTAACAACGTTGTGATGACTTCAATTTAACTTTACACCGACTTGTGATGTCAGCACCTACATTATGACGACCCTCACTATTTTCATAATTTATATTAATATTTAATCAAATTTAAGTCAAGTTTGCGAAGTTTAGGTTCAGTAAAGCAATAGGAATGCATTTTAATCAAGTTCATATCGCAATTATATTAAAAGTTAATTCAACTACATGTATATTAAAAGTTAATCCAATGTGTGTCGTTACATTGACGATAAGATGTGTGTGTTTGATCCTAATGAAAATTTTGTACTGACATCTGATGAGTTTTAAATATCTCTTTATTTGATAAATTACTAGTAATTACTGAATGAGAGATGAATTTTATAATTGATTGATTTTCTCAGAAGAAGTTTATACATAATAATTGCATATTTTCAGCCCCTGACTATTCTGTTCGTCTGTCTGTTGCATTATCACAAAAGTTCATGGGCTGATTATTTCCAAATATGTATGCCTCAGATTTTGTTTCTGTTTGATACAAAATGGCTGACTGGTGGCCATATTTAACCCCAAAGTCCCTAGAAAACCTATATTTTATATGTGTAGAGCATTATCTCAAACTTATGCTGTTCAATCCTGTTCAAATTTATAATATGGGTAACACCTATTGCCATATTAAGCCACATCCACTGTAATTTGTTCTTGTTTGTTTTCGAAATTGGCCAACAATGGCAGCAATTTTCTTATAAGGGATTGGTCAGTTACTTCGGCCTAGGGGGGGGGGGGGGTCGGTGGATCAGTAGGGGGGTTACCCTGTTTTTGATTGTGCCAATAGGGGGGTCACCCTGTTTTTGATATCATGTTTTCCAGAATTCACACACGCGCTCATGCATATATTTTTAAAAATTTTATTTCAGAACAAACGATAAAAAAGTTAATCGTACAAATGTGTTCTTAATAATAACTATGACTTTGTCGAGCGGAGCTTATCATATGAGTGATTGTCCGTCGTCGTCGTCCGTGTCAATGTTTTACTTTTTCGACTTCTTCTTGAAAACTACAAGCCTGAATGCTTTGATACTTGGTGTATATGTACCTTGGTTAGACCTCTCTTAGGTTTGTTCATTTCATGTTGATATCTTTAATTCTCTAATTTTGGTGAATATTTTTGTCATTTTTGGTAAAAAGTGATATTTTCGACTTCTTGTTAAAAACCGCAAGTGCAATTGCTTTGATAT